GCTTAGTTTTGACATCTTTAAATTCTTTAGCAAAAATCTACAAAGAAGTTGAAAGATGTCAAAACTACAAAGCAATATATTAACTAATTTGGAAAAAATCTATTATACACATGGATCTTTGAAGTATTTAATTTATATGCAATGGATTACAAAGCTCTATATCTACAATATAAGATAGCACATTATCAATCTCTAATATCACAAACACTTAAGGTAGATAATGATATTTTTATACTTTTAGTTTTTTTACATTGCAATAAAGCCAACTATAGTTCACATCTTCACACAACTATTTTCAACATGTTTTAATGTGAAGTTAAAAAATATTTTGATAATTTTAAAGATATTAGAATCTATAAAAGGTTGTTTGTAACAATGTATTGTTATTAAAATTGCAATAATTTGTATTTCTTGGTTTAATTAGACTAATTTATCATTTAAATATTATTTTTTATTTGATGATTTTATTAATTTCATAAATTATATTTTTATGAATGGATTCTTACTAACATTTTAATCATAATAGTTTGTAAGTAAGATCTAATTAGTCAATGGTGATATTTGATTGTAATTTATTTAGATAAGAAGAATCAATTTATAAGTTTTTAAATTTGATTTTTAATATATTTTTTAATAAAAAACAAAAAAAATTATCTCTAATTTTTGATATAATTACTTTATTTTATTTTATTTTATATTTATTATTAATTTATACTATAATATATACAATAAGATTATTAATTAGGATAATAACTTTGAAATCTTATGTATGAAAAAAAATATCAAAAATATTAATAATAACAAGAATTAAGTATTTAAAACTCAAGAAATACATATAAAATAGTATAGAATTAGATAAAACTTCACATCTAATATTTTTTAATTATATATTATTTAATCTTATAATTATATATGAAATTAATCTATTAATAATCCTTTCAACCATTGGATGCTTTTAAATTTATATTTCCAAATTTCAAAATACAATTAACCTACTTATTATATAATAACTTCTCTTTAAACCATTCAATGTCCTTTAATTTACTTTCTTCTATTTTAAGAGCTAAAAACCTTATTTACTATAATAAATCAAATTAGTACTTAATTTGATTTATTTTAATTCTTGTTTCTTTTTTACCACTAACAATCTATCATAACACAAATATGAAGTTGTATTTAAAATATTTTTTATTTTTTTATTTATTTTTATTTTAACATTGTAAGTGCAAAAAATAAACAATGTTTTATTTAAAGAATGATAATAAGAGAATATTTTGTTATATATCATGATTTTGATACTAACTATAAATACTCGAATTTATTATCTTTTAAGACTTAAGAAAGAAATAAATATTTAATTAATTATATTTTATATTATAATAAGAAGATATATTATTTGTTCATATTACATAATTCTTTGAAGTATGACCATATGAAAAACTAAGAATTTGTAATACAAATAAACAAGTATGTTTTATATTTTTATTTTATTTTATTTCTTTAGTAAATATTTTTATAAAGCTTTTGATTTTTAGTTTAGACAAGCTAAATTATATAAATGATAGTCTTCATTTATTATTTAAGAAAGTAAAATAGATATATTAATTTATTATTAATATTCTTTCAATTCAAACATAAAAAAGAAATTTTTGATTTGTAAGTAATCTATAAAAATATATATATATATAAGCCTATAAGGTTAAATATAAAAATAACTTATGGATTTTATAAAAAGACTACAATATAAGTGTATAAGAATAAAAATAAATCAAAACTTATGGTTGTATCTATTATTATAAAAATAAAATATATGCTTATTCTAAAACTCAAGACGATAATACATAAAAATTTCTTATGATTAATTTTATAATTAAGAAGTGTGATCAAAGAAAAAAACAAATTGACAAGAAAAAAATAACAGTAAAAAATATGACTAGTTCAATAATAGATTCATATTATTTATTGTCACTTTTATATGCCAATCAAAATTTACCTCAAGACTTCTATAATTATTAGATAAAAAATTTGATCCCATTAAGGCTTATAAGTGGTGTAAAAAGGGAGATTTGGGCCTTGAATCTAATCTTCTTACTTACTTTTCAAGTTCTACAAACTCTATAGTACTTTACAAAGTAATAATATAACTTTCAATATACCACAACAACAAATCATTCATTTTTAAAGATTAATATTTTATAAAATCATTTAACTATTACATATCTATCACAATAATTCTTATGTATTCAATACATATATATATATATATATATATATATATATATATTTATATATATAACTAGTAACAAATAAAGATTTAATGAGCAACACATATCCAATCATCTATATTTATATTCATTAAAAAAACTAATCATATCTTTAAAATATATTATATCTTATTATTTATACTAATAATATATTATTATATATAATTATTTATTTAACTAGCTATATATTAATACTACATTATATCTAATTTAAAGTATTATTAGACATTGCTTTAATATTTTCTTCTTACATCCTTCATTAATGTACTCTTTGCACAACCATGCAAATTCATTGTTCTTTTTTAGATATACAATCCTTTCCAAGGCAAATATATCCTCAAGATCTTAATCTTTCAAAAAATTCATTAATGGTGAGCTATCCTTGATTCAAATTCTATTGGCAAACTCTTCAATTTCAAAAGATTTATTTCTCGGCTTGCCATACCTTCTTTTTCCAATACATCTAATGACATATTTGTAATTATGGAAGCAATACCTTTAAGAAGTGACTTATCTAAATCAAATACCATAGATCCTAGACTTGCTACTAGATATGCACTTAATTTTATTAGCATAGTAATAATCCTCAATCCCCAAATTACATATGGATGAGCCTCACACAAGGTTTTATTCTCCAAATGTAAAGCAATATCTTTTTGTCTCTTAACTGCATGTATATTTCTTTTGCATTCACACATCATGTATAACTGCATTGATTTTAATCTCAATACCAAACTAGTAATCAACCTCTCTCTTCTTCCACAGTTACTTGTGGTAACATATACATATGAAGGCACTTGATGTCATTATGGTTGAATTGAATGATTGATTATTCTAGTTGCATTTTTTGAAATCTATACTAATACATTGTTTTGCATGTCACTTAATTTCTTGTCCATGTGCTTGTTAACCTTATGCACAACTTCATTTGTTTTTTTACTTATCAACTAAAATAAATCTTTTCTAATTTTCTAAGTTCATTCAATAATATCTCTACCTCTTATTACTTCTTTATTCTTAAAGCTATTGACCTTGTGAATTCCTTCTTCATACAATATTTAAATTTTATTTGAGCATATACTATATTCAATCTTAGATACTTTGCTTTGCTCTTTAAGCTTCACAACCATCAATATAGTCTCCATATTTGTATGGTGTTTATTCACAATCTTTTCTTTCGACATCACATCATCCAATAAGGTTTTTACCTCATCTCTTCAATGATCATTATGATCCTTTGGATTTATTGGCCAATGGTGTATATAACCATCAAATTCTAGCTTTAAAAATACTTTTTCAATCAATTGAGCTTTAGTAATGAATTGGTATTGTCAATTCTTGCACAACCAAAGTTCTTCCATATATATTGGTCTTATGATGCTCTTACATAATTTTATGCCTTAACAACCAAATGTTACTGAAGTACATAGTTCAAGGATATCCTTGATCAATTCATCATTCATAAATTAGAAAGTCTTTGTAAAATCTTAGGTAGATTATACCATGACATCAATATAGTCAACAATATGATCACTATGCATTACATCATTTATATGGCCACTATATTCTATTAATACTTCCATGCCATTTTTTATGAATTTTACTAAATTCTTTTTTAAACAAAAACTAGGATTTGATCCAAATCTTCTCTCAAAAACTACCTATAATACCAATATGTGTAGAGCATTTTGATTAAAAATTATTAATATAACTATATACTATTGTCCTTATAAAATCATAATATATACATTTGAATTTCTAACAAAAAAATGTCTATCTATTGAATGATACAAAAGTTATACATGATATTTGGACACGTGGAAAAAATCCTTGTGTGAAAAATGTCTGCTTTTGATCTTCAAATTTAAGGCAACAACCAATGTATACTATAGATTGATATGGTGAAGTTGATATTTCACTTCATACTAATTCACACTTCTCTTCATGTGCAATATTAGCTTTATCTCTTAAGATTGCTAGAATAAATATTCTTTTGTTGTTTGATTTTCTTCCACAATATTCTTTATAATATATATTCATTTTCATCATAACATGTACTACATCTTCAACTTCTATATGAGAGATTTCTTTTAAAATCTTCTTAAAGGCCTTCTTTCTTTCATTGAATGATTGTTTGAGCTCATATTTGAAACTTTCTCTCTTCAGATTCTCCTTAATATTTGTGATAGGTTGTCTTGTGTATACATCTAAGTAGTCATGAGTGATGCTAAAAATAGGTCCAATTACTTTTGAACCAAACCAATTTGGATTCATTATAATAACATCCTTCAAATCTTTGAAAAAAATGATGTGCCCTTTTTCATGCAATTGTAAAGCCGCTACTTCATATATCTCATGTACTTTTCTTGGAATTATATAAGGGATTTCCAATGTTCTTGATTTTATTTGTAGATACATTTCAATAAACCCCTTCCACTTAATGATGGATTTTAAAGAATTTTTTGTCTTTTATTTAGAAATTTCTTCTTCCATTTGAACACCTACTTCATAAATGGGAGGTGCTTATTTGAGCCTTTTTTGTACATCATTCATAATACATTCTACTAATGATTCCACCATTTCAATATTAGTACTTGTTATAATATATTTTTTCAATGAGACTTTAAAGAAGTTTAAAAATATATCCTACACACTTGCTAACATTTCTTTTATATGTTATTCAATGTCTCTATTCTTTGGCAACCAATCAACATGAGTAAGTACCATAGTCACATGTAACTTTTGATTTCCAAATGTTCTTGTATTAGATGATAAAACTTGCAACCAATATAAAATCTCTTCCTTAATTTCTCACAACTCTTCTCATTACCTTTACTTATTGTAAGCAAATATGTCAAAATAAAGAATCTTATACTTTCCACATCATTAAAATTGGGGATAATAAGATCATGAAAGGTATGACACTCATCTTGTCCAACCATGTTCCAAATTGAGAGGTTAATTGATCCAAAGTTTATTGAAACCATTTCTAATCTTTTGGTTCTTTCTTCAATTCTTTTTGAAGAAATACTTATTCATTCGGACACACTATATCTGAGGTAAAAAAATTTGTCTTTTGTAGGAATGACTTTCATCATTTTTTTTTGAATAGTTATTTTCTCTACAATATGGAAATGATCAATTAAGCATTATTCAACTTCAATGTAACAACAAGTGTAACATAATTTAAGCAAGATTTTGTTTATTTCTCTAACAATGATAACAACATGTTTAACTGTAATGGACAAGATCATTTCGAAATTGATGTATATATAATATAATTTGATGATAAAATAACATTCAACTTGAAATGTTAAGATAAAAAATATTTCGTTATGCCATTTAAGGTACAATTTACTTAAAGATTTTGTGACGATGATATTTTGTAATAATAATAATATTCTAAAATGATGTACGATATTAATTTACAGATGTTGGCTTACAAGGTCATATGTAGCAACTATTCATTCAAATTAAACGTCCATACTCAGATTTGTATTCACATGCTCTTTATTACTAGTATTGTACTTTGCTTCTTCATGAAATTAACACACAAATTTATGATGTGAAATTTTTAACTGTAGAGTGAAGTATTAAATTATTCAAAAATTTCACAATTGAAATTGATAATTCGTGTTTGATTGTAACTGTAAAGTAGATTACGAACACTGTTTGTCTACCAGTCCAACAGGTGTGAAGTATCTTACCTGCGCCGCACAGAAATAGCTTACATGACGACGGTTGAACATAGTTTCCAGCATTGATTATACGCCTGTTCCTGTTTAATATTTCTTCCACCTTTTCCTTCCATCGTCCTTGAAATTCCAAAATTACAACGTTTGTCACCCAGTAGTTGTGATCAATTATTTTTATGAACGTTTCCATCCATAGTTCTTCAGAAGGCTTTTTGATTAAATGCGGCATATCATAAAGAATTATGAGTGATAGATTTGTTGTGCTGTAATGCTTTCAAATTAGGTAGATATGATGGACTGAAGGAAATGGATAATGCGTTGATAGTTGTATTTCTTTGTAACATTTCTCCGTACGCGTCATAGAAAGAGTCGTCCTCGTGGTTTCATGTTAAAGATAAATAATCCCGAATATATAGTCTTTTCAATGATTCCATTTTGATTCCACCTGTATCTGGATTTGGTGTTGGTGCAGGGAAAAGATATTTTATGTTATTCTCAACCCCGATTACTTGAAGGTGAAGCTGTTGTGGCGTCTTGCTCTCACATATTCGCTCCAGTAGACGATTTATCCATTGAACATTCGCTGTGATAACGATAGAAATTAATGCAAGTCCTCTTCCCAGCATATTCGCTATTGCTTGTACCCATCCGGTATATTCCTACAATATAAGTTTATGTATGGGTTGTCAATGCATATTTCTTCCATCAAGTGAGTTTCAAAACTCGTCATTGCATACATTTTTCCAAAATTGCGACATTCATTTCTACATTCGTTCTTAACTATCAAGATCACAAATCATCTATACACTTGCCATTCTCGATATCTCGCATTATGTTCAAGTAACTCTTACCGGGAAAATAATTCCATCGTACGAAATGGCTATATGTTCCAAAGTAGCACACTCTGGTAAAGAAGTCATAAGCGTTTTCAAAATAGAAAACATATCATTCAGATCCTTAATCGCAACGACATCCTTATGATAAAGAAAAATCAAGTCGATAACAATAACCAGATGCTTCTGAAGGGAGTCCGCACAAAATTCTTCGACAAGTCTAAGTCTCTCTTCCTGCCTGAGCATATCTCCTGAGCGATGATTCATTTCTCCACAAGAGCCTTGTACAACTCCGAAAGAAAACAACTCTGGTCCTCGAATATACCACACATGCTTCGCATGACATAACACCCCAACTTCCACTCCACACATCTGTACCCAATGAGGCAAGCACAAACTGTCCATCTTCACAAGCAAACACTGTTCACTGTTAAGCAACATTCCTCGTCCAATTTACGTAGCACAAGGTCAACATTCACAGCCATTCTCGAGCCACCAGCACCAGCGTTCCCTGTGCGCAACATTTGCGCGTTGCACCTTGTGTGGAGCGCAATCCGCGTTGCACCGTAGCTGCAAAATATCCCCCGTCCCCACCCATCCAGATCTAATGACAAATTACAAGCCACTGCTCAGTCTTCGCCTACCACCCAATCCCGTCACTCTAACCACCTACTGCATTCATGCGCCAGCGACGATTTTGAAACAAAGTTCGAAAGGGCGCCCCCTGCTCTCCTTTTCCAGCTACACCTGCTCTCTCTCCGCTTACTCACGAGAAAATCTCCTGTCGAATGAGCGCCCCTTGTCGGAATAAGTCCAGATGTAAGTTCATCAGGTTACCGACTTGCAAGCAGCAACGAAAGGCTAAATTTGCGCCGATGCAAGAACTCTGGCCGGGACTGCGGACGTGTAACGGTCGGTTAGAGACAGTCTCTAACCTACACCGAAGATCAGTTACGAACACTAGATCACACTGCTAAATTGCAAGCTCGCAGGCCCTACCGCACCGCGAGGACGCACTGATCACAATGGAGGACGTCAGAACCAATTTGGCGAGCAGCATCAATCCGCATGGTGCCACTCTATTGCCGAGAGTAAACGCGTCCGCCAAACGCTTCTAACCCGTGCTGCTTGACACTGCGCCACCAACACACAAGCAGCTCGCTCCTGGCATCACTATCTAGTTATAAATAAAACGACCACAATAGGACACCTTCAAGTAGAACATCCCACAGAAACATCACAATGAAAAACCAAGACGCTTTCCACAAGGGACTCTGTAACAAACAAACTCGAAACTAGCTGCATAAATAGCAAGGTGCGACATTTATCCACCATCACGGAGAAAACCCCACCACCACAACGCCAACTCTGCCTGTTATTCGACCCGTACTGTGACGCACCAAGGATTGCAAGGATTGGTGCCAGCAAACTCAACGTATCCCGATACATCGGCGAGATCAATGAAAGCCCACGTTCGCGTGCACGATCGTCAACATGAACAATGAGGTATCAAACAAACCCGGATATACCGAAATGGTCCGAATCCCTGCAACGCATTTTTGGGGGAGGAATTGAGTACTTCTTCAGACCCCAAGCATGTGCTTTCGGGCAGATGTGCGTCACCCATTTTGTAGCAGATGCGTAAAAGTCAAAAGCAGAAGCATTCCTATTCCTGATGGCTACAGCAAAACATTAGTCTCGGATCCGATGTGTTTTCTTTGGTGTGACTGTATTCAAGCCGAACTCTGTTATCACCAGTTCCGATGCTGAATTTGCTGGTGAATAGCCGCTTCTCGATGCAGCTCATCGACGGTGACAACACCATTTACATCACCCACAAAAGGGATTGAGTTCGAACTACCGAATCCGAGAAAAGAAGTTCCAGCAGGTGTGTGGCCCATTGCCCTCATTTGTACAATTGTATCTTGAGATCGCGGGTATTGGAAAGCTAGAACTGGGTCTAAACACTTATTTGTTATAACATGGCTTTATGTAAATTTCAGTTGAAATGCAAAATCATTAAACATAATCGAGATAGATTAATTATACTTTTATGACATTAATTATTATATTTTTTTATACTTTTTAATCTATATATATATATATATGCATTTGAAGGATAAATATTAAAATAGAACTTTATAAAAATCCGAAGATAATTTATATAGTATGTATAATTTTTGTCAGTTCATTTTGTTGTGTTGTCATTCAAACTAATAAATATTGATGCTATTGACAAGAGAGTTCCACTTTTATGATATTGAGTTAATATTTTAATAGCCGTTTAGAAAAAGATTCTGACTTAATCACAATCTCACATAATAAAAAAATATGTATATTTTACAATTATAAACCTTAAAATCAACAATTTATAATATACAATTTGTAATTTAGAGTCTACAATTTTATTGATGCATTTTCTTCAGTTTTCATACAGCAGATGTAATAATAAATACATACAATTTCCAATATTTACTCCTATTTTTCATGTATCATCATATATTACAGGTTTCTTCACATCAACATATTGGATGTCTGCTTTTGTATTCATTCCATTGTGAATTACAGTTTTTATTTGTACAATTTAAGAATGGCAACAAATATGAATACAATCAAACCCCACATAACTAATAACCCTTACTTAATATCCCTTGCTTAATTTATAGCATTTGTTGGAACACAAGCTGTTCCACGGTTGTAAATTTATAACCTTGCTGTTTGCATAATTGAAGATAGTATGAAATTTTGTAAATTAAATGAAAAATGTGATAAGAAACAATAATATTAATCAATTGAATTCCGAACATAGTAGACATATCAATAATGTACTATACAATATTCTAGATCAATTAAACTCTTATCATTATAGTTGTTGTTATCATATCTATTGCTGTTATGATATTGGTATTGATTCCAAATCATAAAATTAGTTTATCATCTTTTGTTCCAAATTGTGAGATATTTAACAAATCCCAATATATAAATATTTTTACCTCAAAAAAGTCCTATCCAAGGATCTGAAGCATATTCAGTAGTATTTAAAAAATTGTGTAACATCATAACAATTCTTCAATTAAAAACATAAATAAAATTACTTATTCAAATAAGGTGTATTTTACTTGAGTGTGTACACTATATGCTTTGAATAATTTGACTTTTTTTTTTAAAGAAAATAAATGTTTTAATCTAGCCCTGATAAAATCATTTGGTGATGCAGTTATATTATTTTATTCTTAAATTTAAAGACCTCTAATTGATCCAACATCCCTATGACAAATAAAATTGTACGTTAGATTTGAGTAATGATTCTAAATGCAATCTCAATATACTATGTACATGTGTTTAAAAAAGAAATCAAATCTTTAACTGACAATAGAATCAATTTGTTTGATCACATCGAATGAAAATCTTAGTTTAAAATAAGCTTTTGTAGGTTTGATTTAAAATTCTAATTAGAAAAATCAACCTTAGATTAAGCAAAAGTAAAGTACTTGAAGGTTCATTTTGTACAAAAGTAAAGTACAAAACTGTGAGGTCTTAAAATCAGGTGCACATTTGATTCACATGTGATATAGAATTAGAAAGAGAAAACATCAATATCTATCACTGATTTGTGCATATAAGATATCAAAATTATTCAGACACAAAATCCTAAAAAACAGTAATAAAATTATTAGAGATAAATAAATAACTAAATAAATGTATATATCACATCAAGCTCACAATTTAGTATATTTGCAAAAATTTGAAGCTTGAACTTATCAACTTATCAAGTTCAAAACTCAAAACTTAAAATTACAAAAGATGATTTAAAAATAGCACAGAAGTTTTTACTTGATTAATACATGCTGTATGAAGAATATAACCAACAAGATGAATACGAAATAAAAAGAATCCATACACAAAATCAGTAGGTATAAATACAATATATTCTGTAGAATTCAAGTAACTGAAGCAAAGTTGCTTGTACTTCTTTCTTCATGCAGTGCTAAGGTAATAAAAATATTTCTTTTCACATCAAAGTTTATGAAAATTATGAGATGATTCCAATGCATTAAAAGAACATGTCAATGTTAAAGTCTAAGAAGTGTTTGGATAATTTTCCCAAAAAGGTGGGATAAGGTGGGCAAGCTTGTGGTGCTTGAAGAATTGGTAGAGGAGCATCATGGATGATCATGGATTTTGATATATATATATATATATATATAGTTTTAAAAGTGATGGTATTATATTAATAAGAAAAGATTTAATACCGCTTGTGCTGCCTGAAGGAATAGACAAGGCAAAGAGTACGGGGGCCAATTTCCACCGTAATGAATTCAGGCCCCTGATTAGAATACTTCATGATGACACAAGACTAAGTTGAAATCATTTATTTGAATATAGAAGCGATTATAACTCTTGGAGTAGATGTTGGACTTTAGTTGTGGTTTATGGAAGCCAAAAATCAGTGATTTCAAGCGAATCAGAGAAGTATCATGAAACTTTAAAAACTCCAATACCAAAGTTTGAGATTTTGCATTTTGTTTATTACTTTATTAAAGATTAATGATCAATCTTTAATTTTAGTATAGTATTGGTACATGAATTGGAGGTATCTATAGCATAGAAGATACCAATGCACCTTCCTTATCCAACCCTTGGTCAAAAATAACTAAGGTGGTTATGGCCTTCATTGACAAAGATGCCCAAGCTCTCTCCAAATTAATTTTCATAGACTTTGCTCCAACAAAACATCCTTTGAGAGTGGAGCTGCAAGTTTGGATAAAAATCAACCTCATTGAACTTTCAATGAAGATATTTCAAATTAGTATGTTGTGACGCGATTACTTTGTCTTCACCTTTTCAACTCAAATTGGCACAATGGAAGCCCTCACAAAAAGAATGTTCTACTTTGGCATCTATCTACTTAATGTACAACCATGGTAACCTCAATTTGATCCGCAAAAGTCAAAAGAAATTATAATTCTATTATGGAATTGATCCTTGAAGTTGAATGACATCTTTTACAAAGCTCTATCCTCTTTGTATGCAAAAATTTAAAAAGTTGTATGAATAGGCTCATAAAAGGACTATTTGAAAAAATCCTTTATCCTTAAATTGTGCATTCTAGTAGATGACGTTGTCAAGATATAACATGGTTAATAAATGAAAGAATAAAAAAAAATTTATATTATAGAAGACCTTATTTCAAAGTATTATAGAAAATTATTCTGAAAATATAGACAATAGTGAAAAGATAATAAAACTAAAAGTGCAATTGATGATTTTTTACAAAGTGGGGGTTTTTTTTTTTTATTATTATTATTTTGTAGAGCCATAAATAAGGCAAAATAAGATAGAATAGAAAAATAAATAATATACACATATGTACAAGTGAATTATGAGTAGATTAAAGTAAAAATTATTTCAAGAAAATAAGAATTGATATCCGAAAAAATTTAGTTGCCAATCATAGTCAAAAGCAGATCCTAAGGCACAAAACTATGTACTTGCGACAATTCTAAGGTTCTTTTACAAATCAAAGAAGGAAATTTAAGAGAAAACTTTATAAGAATTTTTTGAGTATCAATTTTGAGCATTTTGATTTTTTAATGACTTTGTAAGAACTTTGCTAAGACAAATATTTTTTGATAAATAAGGTTTTGTGAAGTAAAAAAAAGAAATTACATTTGAGAGAATTTTGTGAATTTAGTAGTAGATCTGTAAGTGAAAATTTGTAGATTTGTAACTATAGTTGTTATTGTATGCTATAAATTTGAACAAAATTAAATATTTAGATTGAAGTTTATTGAAGATTAAATAGGTTTGAATCATAGAAATAAGGTTTTGAGGGTTAACAAATATTTTTAAGATTTTTAGCAATTTCTTACTTGAATTGAAATTAAATTTATGTATGTAGATAATAGACTTGATTTTCAACATACATGTGAATTTAAAAAGATATTTAATAGTAGAATTAAGAGATTTTGACTTGAAGAGATTAGCATGAAGATTGGAGAAGGAAACCAACTAATATCTAAGCAGATTTTAATGTTTATCTTCCATTTGGTAAGTTTGGTCTTTTAAAAAATATTTGTGCTTATTTCCAATTTAATTGTTGAAAGGTATGTAAGATTTAAGTTTAAATCAATGGTTTGATTATTAATTATAGAGGTTTCAATGTGTAATAGGATTTATTAAGAATATATTTAAGATTTAAGATTGGTTTAAGATCTAGGATTTGATTAAGATTTTTATGAAATTTGATTAAAATTTGTCTAATATTTGATTCAAAATTTTTTAATATTTAATTAGGATTTGTCTAAGATTTGAATAGAATTTATTTAAAATTTTATTAAGATTTAATTAAGATTTTTTTAGGATTTTTTTTGTATTTATTTTATAATTTATTTTAAAATTTAATTGAACTTTATGAATATTCGATTATGTTTATTAAGCTTTAATTATAATTTATATATATGGTTTTATCAAAATTATTAGGATTTATCACTACAATTTTTTTTTATCTTCTACAGCCAAGTCTTTGGTGTATTCTTAAACAAGACTTTGTCATGGACATACAACTCAAGAAGGTTCCAGAAGGTTTCAAAAGGTACCAGTAGGTTCTAAGAAGGCTCTTGAAG